ATGATGATTACGTAGGTAACGCGAATAAAAATATCATAATATTTTGCAAATCAATGACATTCTTAATAAACTGAGTATGTAAAAAATTTACCATTGTACCTGTTAACTCTATTGTGACTACAGAATTATTATAATATCCAAAGGTGGTTTTGCCAACCTGAGTAGCTATGTCTACATTCTCATGACAATATTTCGTTTAAAAAGTGAGCTATGTTACAAATTGAATAAATCATATTACAAATTAAATATAAGTGATGTTAATTATTTTACTATTTTCTGTCGGTGGGAGATGTTGATGTAACCCTCCACGATTCTGTTATATTATTTTTAGAGATAGTCTTATTAAAGTCAGTCAGGATCAAACTAAAATCTTTTTCACGAAAGAAGTCCCGTGGTTTTTTTTTTGAAGACAAATGTTGTTTGATTGTAAGAAGAAATTGATTGTAAGTAGATACAGTGGCCCATAGACGTCTATATCTATCTTCGATTGAGAAATAAAATGAAAATGCGTTTTTACCCTTTAGGACTAATATGTAATGCCTCGTTTCTTTCCATGCATCATACCAAACCTATTATAGAATTAGTAGCATTAAGCTGCCATTTTACGCTGGTATTCTATGAGATCGTGGTCCTACTACGGTAAAGCTGACACACTCGTGCTACAACTTGCTAAATTTGGCAGAGAATATCAAATATTTCAAATGCTGTGGCGCCGAGTAGTGGCGGTGTAAGAATATCCACCGCCCCATATCATCCCGTTGGTGTCGTATGAGGCGACGAAGGGAAACAAATCAAGGGATGGGCGGTAGGGTCTTTCTAATAGCGACATAAAATAAACTGTGGTTGCCAATCCGCTTGCAAAGCGTGACAATTATGGCAAAAAATCCCACTGTGATAGATCTATGGAAAAGACCTGTGTGCAGCAGTGGACTTCGTTACGCTGTAATGGTAACGAAGCGCCGTGGCTATGAGACTTCTTCTGAGGTTACACAGTGGGCTTGGAGGGTGGAGAGGTCCGATCTCCTTACGATGTGCGGCCGAAACGTAGTTGGCGACGGATCCTTAGACCAGATTAAGAGAGATAAAGATTAAGAAGAAAGAGGTTGCAAAAAATAAACGATAGATGATACTCAAGGATTGATTTGAGACTGGTTTCGATTCTCAATTGAACCCCACAAATGGCGTTGTTGTTGAGATACAGAAATCACCCTTGCAAATCCAGGGCGAATCGCTAGTTTGTTTATATTTAGCTCACTTAATGTGTATTTTAAGATAAACCCCTAACAACTGATGATATCTACTCTAAAACAGGCATTCAACATGTTATTGTATAAAGAACATAATTACTTTTTAATAATTTGGTTTAACAGTTAGTTTTTTTTAAATGTCATATATCACGGTAAGCGGATTTATTAAGAGTTTATGTAAGATGCTGCATATCTCCTGTTTCACTTTACTTTGTCCAATAAGATAACCGAACGAGAAGAGTGTGGTTTGCAAGATGATGTTGTGACCAGGATTAAGAAAGGAATGCTTCGGTGGTTTGGTCATGTGGAAAGAATGAATGAAGAAAGAGTGACAAAGAAAATTTATGTTGCAGAAGTGAATGGCAGAGTCGGAAAGGGACGTCCTAGGCGAAAAGTTGTAGACCAAATTGGCGACTTATTGGAAACGGGCCAAATTAGGAGTACCCTTAACCGACGAGCATGTATGCGTAGGTGTATGGATGTGAAGGAGGCGAGAGAGGTGTGTCAGGATCGTGCCAAATGGAAATCTGTAGTCTCTGCCTACCCCTCTGGGTGACAGGCGTGAGTGTTTATGTTTATGGAAGATAACCGACGGGATGATATGGGTTAGGGAATTCTCTCATGCCGCCACTAGATGGTTTCTGTACTTAATGACCGTTTTATATTATCTTGGACATTAGGAGAGTACATTTATAGAAAACATGAAAACGGTTGATTTTAGCGATTGGCTTTTATACGTAAGATGCTTAACTACGATAAAATCAAATAGAATAATTTTGATGATCGATTGATGATGATCGATTTTGAACTTTAATTTTGTTAGAAGCCCTTGCATTTGAGTTCTACTAAGGTATTCTTCTAAAGCACTAAGATAATATAAACTCGCTATAGGAACTTACTTTTATATGCAGTCTTCAATAGCGATAATAAATAGAAATTTTTATAACATACTTAAACAACAGTTTAAGCAATACTGCTATCTCTTTGAAAGTTAAAATCACTGCATTCTAAACTTGTTCGCCGTAAAGTTTCCAACTTTGGTAATAAAAGTATGTGTTTATGGAGAATAAAAGTTTTAACTGGTAACGTTTTAAAATATCATAGATACTGGCTCGAATGCGTGTTTTAAATATGCATCTAGTTTTCTTCAGTGTTGCCAATAAACTGTTTGTCTGTTGTCGTCGTCAATAGTCTGTTTGTCTTTACACTTCACCGCCTGTAGAAGTCCACAGCTGGACCTCTCTAATATTTTTTTTATAAGAAGGGTGACAAACGAACACACAGTATCCACTTATTTAAGATGCGTTGTCATCCCTGAGGACTAAGCAGGAATGCTTCGTATCCAGTCAAAAGGGCCTCGCGTTCTCTACACTTACTATACGAAATACAGCAGCTGCTTTATGAAACTGATATTCTATGAGAGCGTGGTTCTCCCCCAGTTGAGCCGACCCATTAGTGTTACAACCATATCTGCAGCGTTACTCTACCACGTAACGTAGGTTTATTACCACGCCTGCCAGGCGGATTGCCAATCGCAATACCATACGCTCGCACCTTTGACGCTGTTGCCTGTCGCAACCATACATTTTAATTTATACGTGGTAGAACTACCACAGAATACCACAATAAAATAGCAGTTTAGCTGTGTTTCGTATGGTGTGTATAGAGGACCGAAGACCCCTTTTACTGGAAGCAAGGCATTCCATTTTTTAATTTAATTTAATTAATACCAGAGACACCACTTAAATAGTAACTTTATATGAGTATTCAGTAAAGACTAAGGGCTAAGTAAGAGCCATGGTAGCTCAGATACTAAGCACTCTCTGTAAATATCACAGTAAGCGAGCAACATGTAACTTTACTTTTACTTTTTACTTTTATTCGAATAATAATCATCACCAGTTTCGATACCAAAATGCATAATAATGTAATATAAACAGAACAGATATGCTGGCAAGTTGCTCGGTTTGCGGAAATGGAAGTCTCTACATGTCTGTACTACCTATTATGCTAAGGCAGCGTTAGTCGATTCAAGATTTTGTAGCAACGTTGTTTTAAATTCAATAACTAGATGCGACAATTAGATATTCATATTAATTAAAAAAAAACCATTATGACGAATTAAGATCTGAGCAAATATTTCTTTCAAAAATATAATTGATCCACGCCAGCAAGAAATAATTGTAAGAAAAAAATGGTGCGTGTCATATATGCCCTATATAAAAAATTACTGTGTTCAGATCCAACGAGCGACCGGAGTTTAATCCTAAGAGTATACATAACTTGCTCATGTATACGCTAAGGCTTACTCCTTATGAACGTCCATGTCAAATTAGTCGTGTTTATGACATCTAGCGTCTTTATAAGTAACACTCTCATCATCATATAATAACCTATAGAAAGGAGTACATAACGCTATTACTTTACACATCTTCAGTATAAAATGCGTGATTGTATTACGCGTTTTTTAGCACTTTTTATCTAATTTGTGTGTCCCGGGTTTTCTATGAAAATATATCCTTAAGGAGTAAACTTTCAACAATATAAGCCATTGTAAATGAAAATAGGAGTGATGTTTGATATAACTAACACAGAATGTAGCACATGTACACAGTTCAAAGAGCGAGAGATGACTTACAACTTATATTCTGATGTTTATTAAGGATGCTATGAAAAAAAGGGAAAATAATGTTTCTATTTATATTTTTGAGTCTAGTCATATTATTCGTTTATATTTTATATTGTTGCCAATTACAAAGTAAGGGTATACCATATTTATTACCATAATAATAATACTGTAACTAAAAACTGAAGCTATAATACAGTCCTACTCTCAGTTGTGTACTGCCAAGAATACTGGTAGCGTTTCCATACTGAACGGCCATATTTAGCCTTTGAGCGAAAAAGATTCAGTTATCTTATTACCGACGGTGAAGAAAGGTCACGGTTCCTCTTGGAACTTCATCCCACGTGGAACTCGCGGACAGATAGTCTCTAAACTAAATGGCACTAGTATTGCTTAATTAACTAACATAAATAGGACGGCTTTTGGAATTTTTCAAACAAAAGCTTCAAAACTACAAAAGACAAGAGAATCAGTTAATACGAGGTGATCCAATCACCTCCAAAAAGCCGTGGCCTGGTTCATATATGACTTAAGTAAAACAATTCACGACGGGCTAATTTACTAAATAATTTCAATAAATCTGGGAAATCTTATCCAGTATTAAATATTCACAAACTATAAGGAAGCATCGTATAACTAAACAGAGGAGTACAGGGAAACTTAGATAAACGTGTAATGCTTCTAGTTTAATAGTTTGTAACGATATCAAACTCCTGCAGCTATTTCTGCACCGGATTATTGACGTTAAAACTAATTAATGATTTTGAAACGAAAGATTAAATACCCTTCCAAGGAAAAATAGTATTTAAAAAAAAATTAAATTGATTACTTTTGGAAATATGAAATTTTTATATCTTCCTATATCAAAATTTCATATTTCCAAAAGTTGAAGTTCCTCAAAAAACATGATTAGATTACACTACGCTGGTCAATTTGAGTATGGCGCGTAAACAAAAATGGAATGAATTGAATAAATGGGCCATGAATTTTAACAACTGATTGCTGCGTATGCAGCATTGGAAGAAGCGATTGTGGAAACGCGCAGTACGCCTCTCGAAAATCGACCGCGACTTCCCCGCATAGCCCTAAGCTAGCGGAATCGGGCTGTCGTGAGTACTCTGAACCAAATGCTGGTGACCTATTTGGAAGCCAGCCGGGACCTTTGCGAGACGGACTCAATTATTTTTGGCGCCGAACTGGCAGTCTGCCGTATTATAGGCGCCAAACTCTCCACGGCTGGACGCGCTACTGGAAAAAGTAGTGCTATCCCAGCCTGGAGAATAAGAATTGAAGAACGTATCGCAAAGGCTAGGGCCCTCATCGGCAGACTGATGTGCTTCAGGTCAGGCAATACCAGGCCAAGGATTGTGCGCACCGTCAGGATGGCGTTTGCTGGGACAAATGTTAGTTTGTCCCAGCCGAATATAATGCAAAAACTGATGGAGCGCATAGACGACCTGAAGCAGAGAATCGCTGCTTGGGGAAAGCGGATTCGGCGAAACACCGAGATGTCGACACGGTTCAACCAGAATCGTCTCTTCCAGAGTGATCAGAAGAGGCTTTATAAATCATTGAAGCGACCAATGGTAAGTGGAACGGGCCCAGCACCGAATCAGGCCAACACGGTTGCATTCTGGCGCAGCCTGTAGTCAGAGCCCGGAAACCACAGTGAGGGCCCTTGGACGGAAGTTGTGGCGAGTCAGTGTGCGGGTATAACGCCCATGGACCCCGTAATCATAACGCCGGATGACGTAGCTGAGGCGATCCGTAGGGCCCCGAAATGGAAAAGTCCGGGGCTTGACGGGCTGCATCACTACTGGCTGAAGGGGTTCATGGTGTGTCACGCTGTGCTCGCCCGACAGTTTCAAGAGGCTCTCAACCAGAAGTCGCTCCCAAGCTTCTTCACTACTGGGGTCACTCATTTGGTTCCTAAAGACCAGGGTATCACAGACCCGAGCAAATACCGTCCCATCACGTGTCTACCGACTATATACATGATATACTATACAAGACACTAACATCCATTTAGAGCGCGAGAATCACTCGTCACCTGGACTCAAATCAGGTGATGTTGCGCGCTCAAAATGGATGTCGGGGCGGCGGTCGTGGAACCAAGGAACCACTCCTCATTGACACGGTCATTGGCAAAGTGGTGAAACGCAACCGTCGGAACTTCTCCGCCGCCTGGATAGACTACAGAAAGGCATTTGACTCGGTGCCCCATACATGGCTAAAGAGGGTCCTCGAGCTGTACAAGATTGACTGTACAGTTCGAGACTTCCTCGGGCAGTGTATGTGGCAGTGGAGTACGATACTCTAAGTCATCTAGGCGAGCGGATGACGGCTGCGGAAAGCCGCATAAGGATAAGAAGGGGTATATTCCAGTGCGACTGTCTGAGTCCAATCTGGTTCTGCTTCTCTTTGAACCCTCTCAGTACTTTACTGGAGGGCTCCGGGAGAGGATTTAAGCTTCGGAAAGGAGGTACAAAAGTGACCCACCTTTTCTGTATGGATAACCTCAAATTATTCGCCTCTAGTCGCTCCCATCTTATGGAATTGCTAAACATCACTTCTGAATTCAGCAATTCTATTGGAATGGAGCTGGGAACGGATAAGTGTGCGGTCCTCTATGTTAAAAGGGGAGGGGTTGCTAACTCTGAGGGCATAGACTTATCTATGTCCGTCAACTTAAGAACCCTTTCCGAGCCTGAAACATACCGATACTTGGGTATGTCACAGAACATCGGTATCGATGAGGCTGGTATAAAACAGTCAGTTTGCGACATGTTTTATGCACGCTTGACCAAAGTGCTTAACAGCCTTTTGTCCGGTGTGAATAAGGCACACGCATATAACGGCTGGGTCATGCCTGTCCTCATGTATACCTTTGGCATACTCAGATGGACTCAGACTGAACTTAACGCCCTGGATAGAAAAGTCCGCACTACCATGACGTCCCATAGGAGGCATCATCCGATATCGTCGGTAATGAGGCTGTGTGGCTTCCTGAGCGCGCTCACCATTCATAATCGCGAAGTGTGCAGCCTCCGTGATTACTTCCTGGCGAGATCGGATGATCCATTCTATAATGACGTCATTTCTAATGATAAAGGGCTTACCCCTCTGTCCTTAGCCAACGAGCAATGGCAGGACCCGGCAGTACAAAGCATCTCCGACCGGGAGACCGTATGGAAGGAGAAGGAGCTTCACGGGAGGTATTACAGGGCTCTACATGAGCCCTTCGTAAATACAGTCGCCTCCCTCAACTGGCTACGTTTCGGTGACCTTTTCGGAGAAACCGAGGGTTTTGTCTGTGCAATACAGGATCAGGTTATTAGGAACAACAACTATCGGAGATACATCCTAAGGGATGGCACCGTCAACGTCTGTCGAGCTTTTCGCCATCCCGGTGAGTCACTTAGGCATGTCGTCTCCGGTTGTTCGGCGCTTTCTAACTCTGAGTACTTGCACAGGCACAATCTAGTAGCCAGAATTCTACACCAGGAGCTCGCTCTGAAGTACGGTCTCGTGGACCGGAAATTGTCGTATCACATGTATTTGCCGGAAGCTGTGCTCGAAAATGACCGCGCCAGGCTCTAGTGGGACCGGGCCATCATCACAGAGAGGACTATTCTTGCGAATAAGCGTGATACTGTGCTGATGGACCGGGCACAGTCAAGGATATTTTTGGTCGACATTACCATTCCGTATGACGAGAACCTAGTGAAAGCCGAAACAGATAAACGAACAAAATATCTGGACCTGGCTCACGAGGTTACCGACATGTGGGGTGGTCTGCCGGCCGAAATTATTCCTGTAGTCGTCTCTGTGAATGGGCTAATCCCAGTCAGCCTCTCGGGTCATCTGAGGCGACTGGGACTCCGTGACGGACCGCTCCGAGCTCAAATGCAGAAGGCGGTGCTCCTCGATACCACCCGCATCGGTCGCCGGTTTCTTTCCCTTTCCTCCTAACCCTCGGCCGTTTGGTCTCCCCTGCCGAGAGCTTCCATCTGGTTGGATCTTATTTATTTATGTATTTTTTTGTATTTATTTTATTTTATTGATATTTATGTATATTTATCTTCTCATTTTAACTTAAAATTATATATTTATAGAAACTAACCAGAGAGAGAAAATTATATAGATACCTCAAAAATAAAAATCTTTATTAAAAACTTAAGAAGTTACAAAACAAATATTGCACTGATTCCTAAACTAGGATAAATCCTGTATCTTAGGATATCCTACCTTCCCATACAATTTTACAAATTTTAAATTTTAATTCAGATTTTTCTTTAAATAGTTTTTTTAAAGCTATGATTAAAGTAAATAAGTGATTTCCCTTTTACCGTGTGAAAAATGGCAGATTCGAACCCACTGCTTTCGTATTTTGTAGTCAACGCCCTTAACCATTAGACTATTGTCACTTTTTAATAAATGGTCATTGGTTTATATTAGGAGTTAGTAGCATAGTTATAAAATATATTATAAAATATTAAGGGGACTACAAGAGCCAAGTGACTTAGAATGATGCACGCACACATTTACATAATCAAGTGAACACCATCTAACGACACTGAGGTTAAACCAACGGATTATTGTGGTTACGCCCGAGTGTTTTGATAGATAAGATAACAAGTAAGATATAGATCTAATAAACAAATACATGGGACTTTCTTTACTTTTTTGTTATTTGATTTGAGTGTTACTTGAAAATTTAAAGATGTTTTATTTCAAAATCACCTGATTTTGAAATAAAACTGATTCGAACTGAAACATTTTTATTTAAGATCTCTATTAAAAAAATGTCGAAGAGGCGCCGTTTATACATCTTTATAATTTACTTAAAAGTTTTTTTTATTTACATTATTCCGCATTTAGTATATATAATGTGATTTATGGGAAACCACTATGCCTGCGCGCGCTCCTCTGTGTGCGATTCAATTCACGTTTTTTGTGAATCTTTATGAGACCTGTGTACTATAAGCTTCTTCCAGTATATGCTTCTATGAACAATTTTTACTTATATAAATAATTTCACAATGATGATTTTCGTGAGATTCCACTGTTTCCAATCTATAAAAAAATTACAGATTTTAAATTACGTAGAAATATCAATTCTAAAAATTCCAGTTCTATGGTCCACAAGATATGTAATTTTGCATTTCGTTTATTTTTTTTGTATTTTAACTTTGAAAAATTGTTAAGCTACCAGTAAAAGAACTATCATTCATACATAATTATAATTTCTATTTATTATAACCAAAATAAATAAAACTAAATTCTTCCTTGTGATAAGTCCTATCTAAATAATAAAAACAAAAAAGAAAATTTGACGTCACATTCCCGAAATCGAACCCGGGTACTCTCGAGTGCAAACTCGAGCTATACCTTCACCAAATAGGTACACGTTGGTTGAATACTCAAAGACATTACTGTAGTAAACTACGTATCTAAAATTTATAGGTTTAAAAAATTATTACATTTCAATTCTTTTTATTAATAAAAGTATTTAATAAATTTATCTACATACATAAAAGACAAAAAAGATCATTTGACTTTATATTCCTCGTATCGAACCTGAGCACTTCCGAGTGCAAACTGCAAATGTATACCGCTACCAAATACGTGTAATGTAATAAACTACGTTGCTAATTTTTTTATAAAAATAATGCTTATAGATCGCCAAGTCGTCATATAAACTTTTTATACACCTGAGTTTTAAAGAAATAAAGCTTTGTCCTTCCACGGTCGAGCCGACCCATTCGCGCTACGATTCTACTACTAACATAGCTGTAATATGGGTCCAGCATTTATAATAAACTTATGATTTATTATATAATAAAGCTATATAATATAATAAAGCTGAAGTTTTTACAAACAAATGTTAATATTTTATAGAGATGCGATTAAATTGTCTAAAATACAGTTAAAGTCCAGCAAATTTAATTTTTATAGTACAAAATATTAAAAAAGTTCTTACGAATACTTCAAAGTTACCTGATTTTTTGCTTAATGCTGTAATATTTACATAATAAAAATTATAAGCCAACTGGAGAATCTATATCCATAGCAATTAAGTAATCTGTTGTTTTATTACGTGTTTGGAACACGTAATAAAACAACAGATTCACGAAATTTCTATTTCAAGTTTCAACCCTGACTTGGATTTAGAATATGAGCTAAATAATATATCCAGGATTAAATTTAAATATATATATGGTAAGTATAAACTTACAGATGAAGTTATCACAACAGATACAACATAAATAGTGTGTTATAAGAAATTACTCCTAAAATTATTTAAATTAAACTCTGTAACAATTTTATCCGTTATCACAAATAACAAAACATATCACATCCTAATATAACACATCCTAATAAATATTCCCGTATCGGGGCATAGGTTTATTTCCTTAAAAGTTTTATATGACCAATGCATTTTTATGGACTAAAAATGGGCTTGACATATTTATGATTTCACATACATAAGTACTATATTCCCCCGCGAACTTTTGCCTTTCGGCACACGAGCGCGTGATAAATCAGTACCTACTAATAAATGGCTAAAAATATCAGTGCCGGTGACAAGAATCGTACTCCGGATGCTCGTATATTTTTAAATTTAAGGAGAATTCACAACTCAAAC